GACCCTTTACTTTGCTAAGCATGCTGTCCTTCTTCAGGGACTGATCCCTCCTGGTAATTTGTCAAAAGTATGTGAGACGTAGTCTTGCCATCAGTGCTTTTAAGAAGCATTCTGATGGTACTTCTTTGAAGACAAATTTGTTCTTTCTATTGGGAGTCCATAGTATATTCAGTATTCTTCATCAACACCACAATTCAGAGGCGCCAATTCTTTTTTGGTCTTCCTTAATCATTGTCCAGCTTTCACATGCATATGAGGCAACTGAAAACACCTTGGCTTGAGTCAGGCGAACTGTAGTCTTCAAGGTGACATCTTTGCTTTTTCAAACTTTAAAGAGAGGTCTTTTGCAGCAAATTTGCCCAGTGCAATGCGTCTTTTGATTTCTTGACTGCTGCTTCCGTGGGTGTTGATTGTGGATCCAGGTAAAATGAAATCTTTGACAACTTCAATCTTTTCTCTGTTTATCATGATGTTGCTTATTGGTCCAGTCTAAGGATTTTTGTTTTCTTTATGTTGAAGTGTAATCCATACTGAAGGCTGTGGTCTTTGATCTTCATCAGTAAATGCTTCAAGTCCTTTTCACTTTCAGCAAGCAAGGCTTTGTCATCAGCATAATGCAGGTTGTTAATGAGTCTTCTTCCAATCCTGATGCCCCATCTTCTTCATATAGTCCAGCTTCTGGAATTGTTTGTTCAGCGTACACATTGAATAAGTATGATGAAAGGATACAATCCTGACGCACGCTCTTCCTGACTTTAAACCAGGTAGTATCCCCTTGTTCTGTTCAAAAGACTGCCTCTTGATCAATGTACAAGTTCCTCATGAGCACAGTTAAGTGTTCTGGAATTCTCATTCTTCACAATGTTATCCATAATTTGTTGTGATCCACACATTCCAATGCCTTTACATAGTCAATAAAACACAGGTAAACATCTTTCTGGTATTCTCTGCTTTCAGCCAGGATCCATATGACATCAGCAATGATATCCCTGGTTCCATGTCCTCTTCTGAATCTGGCTTGAATTTCTGGCAGTTCCCTGTCAATATATTGCTGCAGCAACTTTTGAATGATCTTCAGCAAAATTTTGCTTGAGTGTTATATTAATGATATTTATTGTTCAATAATTTCTGCATTCAGTTGGATCAGCTTTCTTGGAAATAGGCATAAATATGGATCTCCTCCAGTTGATTGGCCAGGTAGCTATCTTCCAAATTTCTTGGCATAAACAAGTGAGAATTTCCAGCACTGCATCCATTTGCTGAAACATCTCAGTTGGTATTCCGTCAATTCCTGGAGCCTTGTTTTCTGCCAATGCCTTCAGTGCGACTTGGACTTCTTCCTTCAGTACCATCGATTCCTGATTGTATGCTATGTCCTAAAATGGTTGAACATCAACCAATTCTTTTTAATATAGTGACTATTTATTCCTTCCATCTTCTTTTGATGCTTTCTGTGTTATTTAAACTTTTTCCTGTAGAATCCTTTAATATTGCAACTCAAGGCTTGAATTTTTTCTTCAGTTCTTTCAGCTTGAGAAATGCCAAGCATGTTCTTCCCTTTTGGTTTTCTATCTCCAGGCATTTGCACCTGTCATTATAATACTTTAGTTTGTCTTTTTCGAGGTGCCCTTTGAAATCTTCTAGTCAGTTCTTTTACTTTATCATTTTTTCTGTTTGCTTTAGCTACTTGATGTTCAAGAGCAAGCTTCGGAGTCTCTTCTGACATCCATTTTGGTTTTTTCCTTCTTTCTTGTCTTAAATGTGTGATACACTTAGATATGTAATAGTCCCCTCTAACATGATATATGCAACATGGAGTTCTTAAAATTCCCCCAAACCAGTTTCTCCTCAAACCTCTTCTCTCCCTAATATTTACACAATTGTTCAGTCAATTCATTTATTCCTGATGTTTCCTTTTTATTCATATACCCAGATCCAATCTGTCAGCAAGTTCCAGTAGCTAGGACTCCAGAATATATTCCAAATGCTTCCAATTTTCTCTCACTACACTGACACCTACCAGTTCAATATACCACTAACCTACCTCCTCTTTTTTTGGATAACTGAAATTTTCTCCTCTTCATCTTCCTTGTTCTTGTTGTGTTGTCAAGTCAATTCTGTCTCATAGCAACCCTATATGACAGAGTACAACTGTCCCTATAGGGTTTCCTAGGATATAATCTTTATAGAAGCAAATCACCTCATCTTTTCTCCCTCAGACCAGCTAGGTTTCAAACCTCTGACCTTTCAATTAGCAGTTAAGTGCTTAACTATTGGGCTCCTTTCATCTTCCTACTGCCACCTAAATTTGCTCCAATTCATTTGCTACAAAATAACCAGAATACACATTATAGTAGATCACATCTCTTCTTGATAAACGCTTTGGTGTTTTTCCTTTGCTCTTAGAATAAAACCCAAATTCATTAACATTAACTATAATATCCTAATGATCTAGCTTTTGCTGATAAATGTCATATCTTAAGGAAGAAAGACAGGGCATAAACCAATCCAAATATTCTCTATTTAATCCAAAGCACATAATTCTTAAGGCTTTTATATATTTAACTAATATTCAATAAAAACTTGATTCCAGCGTCTCATTAAAAATGGTAATGTTGTTTAAACTTTATGTTGATATATTATATCTTTAATTATTATCAGACGTGAATAATTGCCTATAATTCTGTTAAAAACCCATGACACGTAGCCATATCCTTTGGAAACTGTCCCCACTTACACTTTCACTCCTCCATTGTAATCCCTTTCTCTTACTTTTAGCTGCCTAAAGAAAGACCAAGATCTAAAGTTTATGCCTTTGATTTTAACTACAACTGCACCAAAGCTTCATCTCTTCCATATATATATACCTGTCTTAGTTATCTAGTACTGCTATAACAGAAATACCACAAATGTGTGGATTTAACAAACAGAAATGTATTGCCTCACAGTTAGGATTTTAGAAGTCCAAATTCAGTGTCCTGGCTCTAGGGGAAGGCTTTCTCTCTCTGTGGGCTCTGGAGGAAGGTCCTTGTGTTTTCTGAGTGTTTGCTCCTGAGCAGTCTTCATGTGGATCGGCATCTCTCTTCCCCCATCTCTGCTTCTTTTGCTTGCTTGTTTAGTCTCTTTTATATCTCAAAAGATATTGATTCAAGACACATCCTACACTAATCCTGTCTCATTAACATAACAAAGACAACTCATTCCCAAATGGGACCATAACACAGGCGTAGAGGTTAGATTTACAACATATAGTTTTGGGGGACACAGTTCAATCCATAACACTACCTGTTTACTGGTATATGTAAAATAGCATGTCTTATTTTGATTGTGGAGCCCTGGTGGTGCAGTGGTTAAGTGTTCTGCTGCAAAGTGAAAGGTCAGAGATTTAAACCCACCATCTGCTCCATGGGAGAAAGATGTGGCCGTTTGCTTCCTTAAAGATTATAACCTAGGAAACTCTATGTGGAAGTTCTACTCTGTCCTATAGGGTCACTAAGAGTTGGCACCAACTCCACGGCAATGTTTTTGTTTTTTTTATGTTGAATGTATGTATATGGCAATTTAGTATTTTAATCAGCTACTTTATCCTTTATTTAATTATAGTTATGTAATATGTGAGAAGCAGATTTGCTCATTGTGAATAGTGCACTTATTCAACTTTAGTTAAATATTCATTGAGTAATATAAATGAGCTTCATGAGGGCAAAACTTTTGTTTAAAACTGTGTCCTTAGTGATTAGAACAATTCCTGACACATAATAAAAATTTAATGAACAGTAGTTGAATGAATGAATGAAGTGCCATTTTACTTTCACATCAGTGTTGGGAGATAATTCTTCATGAGTCATGTTTCTACATAACATGGGAACAAGGCACTACCTTTTGTTCCGGACTGTCTTTAAAAGTATACTTTTATAATGGACAACCTAGGGAGATAGACATGGTGCTTCGCTCCAAAATAAAAGGCAGGCATGCTTAAAGGCATAAAGATCATATCTCTCTTTGAGCAATGGGTAGATATGTTTACCGCCCATTGTAAAATAGGTCCCTTTCCTGTAACACAAACCACTGAGTGTACGGGTTTCAGGCGGCCCTCTTTGTAATACCTGTGGAAATTGGGACTTGGATTACCATCAGAAAATGCCAATACTCTTGACTATTGTAATACACGGGCAAGGATTCTTAAGTTTTCTATCAAAATGAATGAATCTGTGTCAGGCTAACTTGTCAGCTTGGAAGGAAGGTAAAATCCTAGACCTTTCAGAGTTCTTCACAATCAGATAATGAGTTTTGAACTTTGTGTAGGAAGAAAAATCATCAGAATATCTCTGCAGATAAAGGCTTTAATTCAGGTATATGATATTTAAATATATACTGACTCTTTAACACTGAAGAAAATTCAATTACGAGGAAAGGAATTTACTGGAAAAGCAATACATAGGAGTTGTATATATTGTCTTATTGACGACTCACTAGTAATTTTATTTGTTTTAATTTCTTGTATTTAGTGATTTCAGTTAAGAATATTAGAGAAGGTGTCATATTTTCTAAACTGGAAGCTTTAGGAAATTTATTGTTATGAAATTATGTGGAAAGCCAAAACACAGAGAACATTATCTTGAAATTCAAATTGATAACATTACATTGCTTAAGGACTATATCATAAATACTTTAAACTACAGTGTAGAAATACTTTTCAAAAGCAGAGGCACAATATGTATCATTTCTGATTTTCAGAATTTACGTATTCATATGATATGTGTTTGAGGAAATAAATTAATTTTCTTTTATAAACTATCTAGTTCATACTATTTATTTTTTGGTTCTAAATTTTGTTCCCAAGTTAATGGAATGATTCAATTAATAGTATATAGTTTTTTCCTCTTTGCAACTGTTTCTTCACAACAAGGGCCTGTACTGAATGGTACCTGAATGTTTACTGTTGAAGTATCTAACTGTGAAATAAACCCATTCGTTTATCATGTCTCCAATTATTTCAGGTGTAACAGTACTTGAAGGCCCTATTTATGCTGTGGGAGGCCATGACGGTTGGAGCTATCTGAATACAGTGGAGAGGTGGGATCCTCAGAGTCAGCAATGGACATTTGTAGCCAGTATGTCAATTGCCCGAAGCACAGTTGGGGTAGCTGCGTTAAATGGCAAGTGAGTAAGTTTTTCTTTCTTTATCTGAAAAAGTTTATTGAATGAATATTCTTTTATTTAAAAAAAAAAACTTTCATTAAGCTGATTCAATAAAATATTTTTTAAAACGTCTTAAGTTTTTAGTATTTTTCAATTTAATCTTTAATAGTGATTGACAAATCAGGACTTTGTATATGTTCTTTCCATTTTCTGTTGTTCCCTTCTCCATCTAAAACAGAAATCAAAACTTCTTCACATTAATTACTGATTGAGGAAGTATCAAAATATTTCCCAAGAATTTTGTATACTAAAAGTCTTCATATTTAAGTTGTTTCTGGCTAGTCTGAGTAGCTTTCAAAAGAGGACTAAAAATTTACTAAAATCTACTGAGTTAATGTTTAATGAATTATTCTATCCAAGTTAGTTGACCTTTGAAAATGTAAGTGTTTTTGTTTTGTTTTTATATGTGTGCATTCACGTGTGTATATTCAAAGTTGCTACTGTTTTTTTTTAACTACCTTTCTCACTTAAATGAGCACTTTTCCATACTCTTAAAAATTCAGTGTTTAATGGCTATAGAATAGTTCACTTTATGAAAAAGAAACTAAATTTAAATAACTTGTTTTAGATTTTTGACATCTGAAATATTTCTCAAATTTTGATATCATAAACAAACCTGCGAAGTTCTTATTAGATGTAAATATTTTGGTACATTTCTGACTATTTTCTTTGGTGGTTGGGTGATTTACTGGAAAGGAGCAGGACAGAAATTTCTGGGGTGATGGAAATGTTCTATATCTGGATATAGGTGTTGTTTGAAGAGTGTATACATTTCTTAAATTTTATACTAAAGATCAGGAGCCCTGGAGACACAGTGGTTAAAGTGCTTAGCTGCTAACCAAAAGGTTGGCTGATTCAAAACCACCAGCTGCTCCAGGGGAGAAAGGTGTGGCGGTCTGCTTCTTTAAAGTTTTACAGCCTTGGAAACCCCCTATAGGGTCACAATGAGTCAGAATCTACTCCATGGTAGTGGTTTTATATCTAAAATAAAATCTACTTGGTCATGTTACGTTATTCCTTTAGTATTTGGCTGTATTCCATTGGCTAGAATTTTAGATATGCTTTTACATCTGTATTTGTCTATATATCTTTTTGAGAAAACATTCTGCAACATTTTGCATTATGATATAAAACTGATATTGGGATAGTAGCATCATAATGTGAATTGAGAAGCTTTAGCTTTCTACAATTTATCTGATGTAAAACTGTCTATAAATCTGAAAAATATTTTTTCTTGAATATGAGAAAGAAATGATAGAAAAATTACAAGTACATGTATATATACTCCCTTTAAAATTGTTATTTTCTGAGATTCTAAAATTTAGTAGATGGAAATTTAGCAGAGGGAAAAAGTACCTTCACAAATTCATTTCTTACCGTCATAATGAAAGGTGTACCCTCTGGAGTAGGTTGGGTGGGAGAGCAGGTCTTACATGATAAATTTACTCTGGCATTCCAATCTCCCTAAACCTTTGCATATCTTTCTCTATAGTATATTAAAGCAATTCTGGCATTTCTTCTTTGTTTACTGTAGGCCACCTTTTCATCCATGTTAAGGTAAACCAACAAAACAAGCTGTTAGAGCCCATTCTAACACCTTGAGCTACAACACTGAATCAAGAATCTCTGCTTATTCTTTATGAATCAACAAATTTGACCCAATCTAACTTTAGTTCCATCACCATTGTCTTCCCATTAAATCTATTGCCATAGAGTCAATTTCAATTCATAGTGACCCTATAGGAAAGAGTAGAACTGCCCCCATAAGGTTTCCATGAAGTGGCTGGTGGATTCAAACTGCCAATCTTTTGGTTAACACCCGAGCTCTTAACCACTGAGCCACCAGAGCTCCAACATTATCTTATACCCTTATTACTTATTCCCACACATCCTCCAGATTTGTCTATATAAATTGGAAAAAGCATGCAGTTCTTTTAGATTGTAGTGCACATCCTCATGGGTCACATTTTTGTATTCATTCTTTGAGGCCTGCTGGGACTTGAGTTTACTTATAAATCTAGATGTAAAAAGGAGTGGTTATGATAGGTCTTTAGGAGAATCAGCAATGTCTTGCAAGGCAACTACCTCATGAGAGGTCATTACAGGTTTGTAAGGCAGTGCAGGGTTAACCTCCTAGGACAGGTTTGGAAGGGCTCCTTCTACTGGTAAAGAAGACTCAGCAAGAGTTAGTGGTTCAGTGTCCCCAACATCATCACATCTTCCCATTTGTCCCCATTCCAAATTTTCAGAATCTCCTTGCTACCTAATAATAACCTCACTTTAACAGAAGACACCTAGTGAAGTTGGGAATGCAATTTGCTTTGTAATTCAGCCACCTTAGGATGAGACTCTGGGTTTGAGTTTTAAAAATCTCAGTTTTGTATATACAGGATATTTTGGTTCCTTTCAAGACAGACATAGAAATGTTTAGATTCCTTATGTGGAGCTTGAGCTGTGTATTTGAAGCCATGAGCTCATCCTTTTCTTTCCCAACTCTTCAGTGCACTGAGAAGCAATCAGACAATCTCATTATAAACATTAGCTTGACATAAATGTTCCTGGGTATCTAACATATGGTCATCCAGAGGCTTGTCTTTTATACATATTTGATTAGGAAAATGCAATGATGATATTCTACATGTCTCTATTGCCACATTATACCATGGATTATCAATGCCTCTTCGCCCTGGAAATAGTCATTAGTGCCTCTAAACCTAATCACATTAAAAAAAAAAAATTCAGAAACTCTAGCACCAATTCAGAAAAATCATCCTTGAGATTACTTTCCTCTAGAACCTCTCTTAGTACCAAAATCTTTGTCAGTCAGGTTTCTCCAGAGAAACAGAATCAGTAGTAAATATTAAGTAATTGGCTCCATAGACACATCCAAACTCCCTGAGGGACTGAATTGCCAGGCAGAGGGCTGTGGGGACCATGGTCTCGGGAAATACCTAGCTCAATTGGCATAACACTCTTTATAAAGAAAACGTTCTACATTCTACCTTGGTAAGTAGCGTCTGGGGTCTTAAAAGCCTGTGAGCAGCCATCTAAGATAGTCCACTGCTCTCACCCCTTCGGCAGCAAGGGAGAATGAAGAAAACAAGATACAAGAGAAAGATTAGTCTAAAGGACTAATGGACCACAACTACCAAGGCCTCCACCAGACTGAGTCCAGTACAACTAGATGGTGCCCGGCTACCACCACTGACTGCTCTGACAG